TGTAACAGTGGGGTATTGAGGTCCCCCACTACTGTTGTTGTAGTGCTTATTTGATTTTTCTTGTCTGTTAGTATTTGTTTTATATAGTTGGGTGCACTAGTGTTTGGTGCATAAATATTTATGGTTGTCCTCCCTTCCTCTTGGATTGTTCCCTTTACAAAGATATAGTGTTCTTCTTTTTCTCTCTTAATCAGTGTTGGTTTGAAATCCACTTGATCTGCAAAGAGGATAGCTACTCCTGCTTTTTTTTGGGTTCCTGTCTCATGGAGTATTGTTTTCCACCCTTTAACTTTCAGTCTGAGTTTCTTTTTGAATTATTTGTGTTTCTTGTATGCAGTATATTGTTGGATCTTGCTTCTTGACCCATTCTGCCAGTTTATTTCTTTTGATTGGTGAATTGAGGCCATTAACATTGTTGGTTACAACTGAAATGTGTTGACTTATCCTTTTCATGACTTTTTCTTTTTGTTGGATTTTCCTCTTTTGCTTTAATTTGTTGTGGTTTCCAATGGATTTATTCTGCTGGGATTCCTGAGGTTGTGATACATACTCGTTGTCTTTTCCTAGGCTCTTGTCTGAAAGTTTTTGGAGTGATGATTTGGTATTCATGGGTTTCCTACGGTTCTTTTTCTCATGAAAGTACCTTATTTCTCTCTTAATTTTGAGATAGTTTTTCAGGGTACATAAATCTATGTTGGAGGCTGTTTTCCTATAGGGCTTGAAATATGTCCCTCCAAGCTCTTCTTGCCTTGAGGGTTTGCATTGAGAAGTCTGCTATGATTCTGATAGGCTTTCCTTTTTAAGTGATTTGTTTCTTTTGTCTAACTGCTTGTAGATTTTTTTCTTCTGTTGAGTTTCTGGAATCTTAACTATTATATGTCTATTTGTAGAAATTTTTTGATTGAGGCTAGTTGGAGTCCTATATGCCTCACTTCTCTGTATGTCAGGTTATATTCCCCTGCTTGGCAAGTTTTCTACCATCACTTCTGTGAACAGTTTTTTTTAATGCCATTTGCACTTTCTTGTTTCTTCATTGACTCTGATCAGTGTTATGTTATTCTTCTTTGCATTGTCTAGCAGCTGCTGGTTTGATTTCTCATGGTCCTTTACTATTTTGGGGAAATTTTTCTTTTCCTGATCCCTAATGGCAATGTTGTCTTCTATATCTGAAATTCTGTATTCACATTGATTCATTTTGCTGTGTAAACTTTCAGTGGAGTTTTTAATCTCCTGGATATCTGTTTCATCTGTTTTATAGGTTCTATTTCTTTCTTATGTTGGGATTTCATTGTGTTCCTCAGCTTGTCTATTTTTTTTTTTAATCTGTGTCTGCTCTAGAGCTATTAATTATGTCTTGCACTATGGACACAATCTCTGCTGTCATCTGAGAAATTATTTCTGATTTCATTTTTCCAGATCCTCTTTTGTTGCCAGTTGAGGGAGTCCAGGTGGTTGAATATCAGATTGCTCCATCTCCTTGCTCTTTGGCATTGCTTTAGGTGATCTGGAAGTCTGGTTTTGAGATTTGTTTTCATACCTTCTCATTTCAACGGGGGGGAGGAGGTGTTGTGCTGTTGGTGCCTGCACAGTCACATTCTTGGTGCTGGGGGTGGTGGTACTATGGCCTGGAGGGCTCCTCCTCAGTGCTGGGGGCTGCTCTGTTCTTCAGCTCTGGGGGCAGTTCATAGAGGTTTCAGTCCCTAATTCCATGGCTCCAAGATAGGGATGGCAAACAAGCATCACAGAGGAGAAAATACCTGTCATGCACAAGGTAGCAATGCAAGAAAGGAGAGTTTAACAGTATCTTTAAACTGCACATTTCAAGAGTTTATAGTATGGTTAAAAAGATGTGCAAGCAGTACCACTATCTAATCCCAGAGCATTCTCATCACTCTAGAAAGAAACCTCATACCCGTTAGCAGTCATTTCTCATCTCCTTTCATCCCTCCTTCCCTCTTCCCTAATCTGTTTTTTCTGTGTATATGGATTTACATATTCTGGAAATATCATGTAAATGAATTTATACAACCTATGACCTCTTGTGCCTCATTTCCTTCATTTGGCACACTGGATTTAAATTTCATCTACACTGTAACATTGTGTTATCATGGCTGAATGATATATTTTTTGGACAGATTACCTTTTATTTATTTATTCTTCAGTTGAGGGATGTGTCAGTAATTTTTTTCTAGTTGCTGAGACAAAACACCTGTAACCCAAAGTTAAAAGGGGAAAGGTCTATTTGGCTTATAGTTTGTAGAGGTTTCAGTCCATAATTGGTTGGGTCCAAGGCAGGGTGGTGTGGCAGACAGGTCTTCCAGAGGAAAAATGTTTCATGGTGGCCAGAGGGTAGCAAACGCAACAAGAGACCTTAACAGCTTCTTCCTGCCCTTTTATCTTATTCAGACTACTGGGAGTAGGGCAGTGCTAAACCAATTACTCACATGTAGTGGTTTATTAATTACATCCCCTCAATCCCAGCATCATACACTGTATATTCAGCAACCTCCAAGATAGCCTATGACCACATGAAGCTTTGGGGGGGGGACATCTAGACACAAACCATAACAAAGGATATTTGGGCTGTTTCCACTTTTTGGCTATTATAAATAACAGAGCTATTTGTGCTCAAGTTTCTACATGGCTTGTGCTTTCAGTTCTTTTTTTTTTTTTGGTATATACCTTGGATTGGAGTTGATGGCCATATGAGAACTCTATGTCTAACTTCTACAGAAGCTATCAAATTGTTTCCCAAAGAAGCCATGACAGTTTTACAAGTTGTTTTTCCTATCCATTTACAGTAGATCACTCATATCTTTCTTTGCCCATCTTTAGAGATGTACATCACTAGTTGAATGGATAAGTATTATTTGCTCATCCAGCTCTACTCAAGTACATTTGTATAAATCATTACTGGTGAATTTAATGATGCTATGAAAAATACTGTGCATCTCTTTGTGTTCTTAGCAGTTGGTAAGCAAATTTCCCAGGAGCTCCCAGAAGACTTTGAATCTCTCTAATTTGGTGTTTTCACAATTGCATTACAGTGCGCGCGCGCGTGCACACACACACACATTTGTCTATACATAGTGGAGTCTTTGAGAAGAGGGATCATGTGTTGAATTCATTTTTGTCTGCAACACATAGACAAATGACAGACATTTTGGTAAATGTTTGAAGAATGAATAGATTAATGAATGAGTGAAATGATTCCAACAAGGATTTTGTAGAAATGGAGTTCATTTTCTGCCACAGGCCAAGCCTGAATATGGTCCTTTGCTTCCTCCCTACTCCCTTTCTCCTCCATAGACTAGTCAAACAGACACTAAGATTGTAGACCCTGGATGGCACAGCCTCACGAGACAGTTACGTTATGTATCCTTCTTCCTGTTCCCTTTCTGCGCATGCCCCAATCACAAGACAATCACACTATGTTCAGCATGCTGCATTCAGCCTAGGCCGTGTAGCACTAGTTACCCTGCCTTCTCTTTCTGTTTGTCTTAAACTATAAATAAAGATCACACTGGACCCCAGGCACCCATTAGCTCCCAACAGGCTATGGCTCCACCTAGTCCCAGCTTTCAAGCATAATCTTGGTGTTTCTCATTTTTCTTCATCTCCCACTCCTCTCTCTGGCTTCAGACCCTATGGTATGTGGGTCATGGCAATTTGCTATAAGAATATTCTGTCCCAAACTTCCTGCTCTGAATGATAGTGAGTTCCTTTATCATGATTGCATGTGACAGGAGGATGGGCCACTTGGAAGAAACATTGCAAAGCCAACTTAGGCATCAGAAAAGGGCCTGGCTTAAATTTAAGGTTGCTTACAAATTTTAGAGCCTAGAACTTTAGGAGATAACAGCTACAGGAAGCCAAGCAATGTGTCCTAATCTCCCAGCTAAGCAGCTTTGGGACTGTGAGCTGCTCTAAAATTTTGAGCTTATTCTTAGAACTCCAGATGAATGCTTTGCCATTCTTTAAGCCATCTTCCTCCTGGTGCCTTTGGGAAGCTCATAGTGCACTAAGATTAGAGTCCTACAAGAAGGAGGCCATTATGTAAGAAGTTTTTGGATCAATTTGTGGTCATTTGTAATCTGAGTATACAGATTACTGTCCACACTAAAGAGTAGGTAAATTCTGGGTAGGTGAGTGTTTGAATAAAAGAGGGTAAATTGGTTGGGTATGGCAGAGAAGTACCAAGTGAAATCCTGGGGGCTGTTTAGAAGAGATATTCTGTGATTTTAGATTATTCAACATAGCTGGGCAGGTGGGCCTCAGGTGCCTGTTTATATTTCTGGGCCCAGACAAGTGCATACCCTTGGAGCAGGATAGTGACCTCACTGGATCCCAAGCTGATATCCTTCCATAATGTGGCTTTGTCAAGTCTTGTTTTCTCTCATCCCTTGCACAACATAGTATGAGTTATTCTAAAATATAAATATCAGGGCAGGGGATACATTTTGAAATTAGACTCTTGGGCCAAAGTTGGCAGAAATGCATATAGAACAAGGGCATGATAGGTCTAGTTCAACCTCAGTGCTCACTCTTGGGACTTAGACTTGGACCTGGACTTGGATAACTGTAGATCCGGCAGTTCTGGGACTGGACACACTCAGACCCAGGGAAAGATAAACACCCTGAGGTCCAGTAGCACGTGCCTGGCAGAGAAGAACAATGAGCGAACCTCATGCCTCAAATATAAACAATTAAAAGAGCTAGTTATTTTCCCCTTAATTATTAATCCAGATATGGCCAGATCATGGAAAGAGGTTTAGGAAAATATTTCAGCTAATAAACTCATCAAAGGCTTAGTTCCCTACAGCCTCATTTCTGTTATTCCTCCATCCGTGAGATTTTTAGGGGAAAATTTTAGATTCAAATCAAATAGTAGCTGTGGATTAAGGGGAAAGATCACATTTCTAATAAGCGCCCAGATCGTGCTGCTGTTTCAGACAGCATGAACACTCTGAGTAGAAAAGTGTTTTTTCTCTTCCCCATAGGAAGTGCTTCAGAGGACAAGGTCAACCTTTGCAAGATAGGGATAAAATTCTGGACCAATTTTGCTTGGAATGGTTGAGGCTGATGGCAGAAATGAAGCAGCAGTGGTGGGTACCATGAGGTGTGGCATACCTACTAAGAAAGAGTGGCTTCTACTATTTGACTGTTCAAGACTAATGATCCTGTGACAATAGCATTGTGACAATAAACACAAGGCTCTCCCAGGAGATGGAGAGCTTCACATATCATAAGGTTTGTGCTTCTTTTGGCATTGATGAAACAAAGGATACCTGCAAATCACAGAGGGTTGTTGGAACCACATAGCAGCTTTGGACAATTTCTCTTTGATTCTGTTCTCAGGAACTCCCATGGAGAGGGCCTGGCCCCCTGGCCAGAGTACAACCAGAAAGAGGAAGGATACTTGCAGATTGCCACCATCCAGGCCGAGAAGCTGAAAGAAAACAGAGTGACTTCTTTTTTTTTTCCCATTACATTTATTGGTACATTTTTGGTATAAAATACAGTTACATTCATCATTGGGATCTTGTACCTTTACATGAGTATCTTGGTTCTTATTTTTTTCCCCTT